CTGTCAGAAGAGCTCCCCTACTGTCTTTTAGAAGGGTTCCCCTACTGTCTTTTAGAAGGGTTCCCCTACTGTCTGTCAGAAGGGCTCCCCTACTGTCTGTCAAAAGGGCTCCCCTAATGTCTGTCAGAAGGGATCCCCTAATGTCTGTCAGAAGGGCTCCCCTAATGTCTTTCAGAAGGATTCCCCTAATGTCTTTCAGAAGGGCTCCCCTAATGTCTTTCAGAAGGGTTCCCCTAATGTCTTTCAGAAGGGCTCCCCTAATGTCTGTCAGAAGTGTTCCCCTACTGTCTGTCAGAAGGGCTCCCCTAATGTCGGTCAGGAGGGTTCCCCTAATGTCTGTCAGAAGGGCTCCCCTAATGTCTGTCAGAAGGGTTCCCCTAATGTCTGTCAGAAGGGCTCCCCTAATGTCTGTCAGAAGGGTTCCCCTAATGTCTGTCAGAAGGGCTCCCCTAATGTCTGTCAGAAGGGTTCCCCTAATGTCTGTCAGAAGGGCTCCCCTAATGTCTGTCAGAAGGGTTCCCCTAATGTCTGTCAGAAGGGCTCCCCTAATGTCTGTCTTTCAGAAGGGTTCCTCTACTGTCTGTCAGAAGGGCTTCCCTAATGTCTGTCAGGAGACCTACTGTCTTCTTTGCTCTCCCTGACGCCCTATTTCCATTACAGAGCATATCTCACTGCTATCTGAATACCTGGTAGGGATAGTCTGAGATGTCACACAGGCCAAGCTCCATCCAATCCCTTCACTTTCTCACCTTTAAGACGGATGTGTTTGTGTGCTCTCAGTACTCCGTTTTAGTTACAGAATGGCTCACTGAATTCCAATAAATTTACCTCGATTGTCATAGAGCTTGCATTGCCCCGCCAACGGGTGTGGGGAGTGCTGGAACCCTCACATTAGGCCTCCTGCTCTAAGCGGGAACTTCTTCCTCTTTTATTCATGTCACTTCCTACTTATCTATTTATTTATGTACCCATTAATAGGCCCCTGTCTATATGTGCACAGGGTCTCATGTAGCCCAGGCTGGAGTCAGTCAAGGTGAGGCTTCCCTTGAACTTATTCATGCCTCATCTTTTCAGTACTAAGATTACAGGTGCAACCACCACACTTCGTTTTCAGGATGTTTACCAGTCTTTTCTTTATCTTTACTCTTTCCTGCTGTCATCTGAGAGTGCTGGGCGTCAGCTTCCAGCTTCCCTCAATGTCTCTTCCTGTCTCTGCACTCCAAGGTAAAGTGACCTTCTCCAGGCCACATCACCTGGGCTCCCTCTACCCTTAAGACAGTTTTCCTGTTTGGGCCCCAGCAAAAGACCAAGGGCAGGAGGCAGGAAGAACAGCTCACCCTGGAGCCCAGGGATGAGAAAGCTCATCTATGACCTGTCCTTGGACGTTTGTCTGTCTTGCCCACCCCTTCACCCTTGCCTCTGGACAGTCTCTTCCTTCAGTTGTTTTCAGCCGTTCCACCAGGAACCGTAACTTCCCAATAAGAGTCCAGCTGAGACAAGCTGTGCCTGTACTACTGCTAATCAAAACAAACCCTTGGCATCAGGAACACTCTAGCTAAGTGGACGGCTTTGAGGCAGCTGTTCCAACATGTAGAACACATTTCAAAACTTCAGGGCTTGGGGCTAGAGAAATAGCTCAGAGGTGAAGAGCACATACTCCTCTTGCAGAGGACCAAGGTTGAGTTCCAGCACCCACATGGTGGCTTACTACTGCCTGCAATTTCAGTTCCAGATCCAATACCCCTCCTCTGGACTTGCAGACACCAAGCATGTATATGGTGCACATACATACACACAGGCAAACACTCATACAAATAAATACATCTTTTTAAAAAGACTTCAGGGCTTACTTAGTCTTTCCTTTTTTATGTGAGACATAGGTTAATGTGACTAGGGACAAATATCTCACTTACTTCACATTCAAACCATAAGATTATGCCATGCTGAATGTACAAATGAAAATGCAGTTCTTATACAGCCAGAACCTGCAGCATAATAAAATGCCTTGCCTTCAACTTGGAACAGAGGTCCATCGTGAGGTCGTAGAGGGTCTTCAGGTTCACACATACATTCTGACTCTTTAAAAGTGGAAAACATTAAAATTTAGACAAACTTGGCAACATTTTCCATCACAGTCTGGGAACTGACTCACTAAAGTATGTCTAGTGACATGGCAGGATGCTCCTGATGGCAGATTTTACATATAATGGTGTTGCCATTCATCCCAGAGGGATGAGTTCCCACCTACAGAAAGTGCTTCCATTGGGCAAGCTACCCATAGGCAAACACTTTCTCCCAACCCAGTGCTTTCTCATTTTACAGATGGAGAAATAGAATTACTAAATTCCTCATACAAGGATTAAACGGTGGTGAAGCCAGAACACAGGCCTCTCAGATTCCACAGCCTCTGCTCTCTGGTCTACTACCCTGCAGCCACACAATGGCTTCCATATTCCACACTCACCTGTCTATCACCACTGTAGGACAGACATATACAAAGTCCAGAGAAGCCACAAACAGAGGCTGTGTTCAAGGATGGAGAAGGTAGATGGGATGAGAGACTGTCCCTTAACACACAGCCTGTGTCCCTTCTAACAAGGATCCCCAAGACCACCTACTCAATATCCCATTCTGCCAAACAGCCCCAAATTCTAGGCTGCTCAGACTCAACTTTCTGCTCAAGGCCTCAGGCTAGAATGAAGTCCCTATGGGTGGTAGCTGGCTGCACACTGACGGCTCCAGCTATTTCCTGGTCTTGGCTCTCCTCTGAGCAGCTCAGAGATGAGGTAGAGGACCAGTCTAGGTGCCACTGGGCACAGTTCCACATGGTGTCCTGCAACTTTCTCAACTCTGAAGTGATTACAAGTTTCCACTCTGAAGAGTCCAAAGACAGGCCCACTTTTTGTCATGGCACAGTCCCCTGAGAGTCCTGCGTGTTCATGGCTCTCAAGAGTCCTCCCTTCTCTTTCCCAAACTATTCTTGTGCCCACTTCTTCCCTCTGTTTGAGCTCCCTTTCATTCTGCTGAGCAATTCAAACCACCTCTTCAGAACAGCACAGTGGCAAATCCTATATATTAAAGGTCCAACTTCCATCTCACACCCTCACATACTACAAGGCTCTCTCATAGCCACCTCTGGCCAAGATACATGATCAGAAGAACTGCATCCAAAGCTGCCTCTTGTCCTCATTAGGCAAGGACGAGGGGCCTCAGGAGCAGAGTGGAAGATCTGACCTGGCGCAACAGTATCACTAAGCTGACTGGTTCCCATGCCTTGAAGCTATCTTATACCTGACCATACATGAGCATGCCAAGAAGAAACTGGGCTTAAAGTCATAAACTGAAACTGAGCTATGGCCTCAACGGGACCTTGGGCAAGAAGAGTGTACAATAGCATGTGTGCATGTCAGTTTCCCCATCTGTGAGCTGGGACTGATATCCTAAGGTGAACAACTTCTTGTGGTAATATTTCAGCTTAGCCTGATTGGGTAGGATTCTAACCAGGAGACCATGCCCAGCTTTGCAGGGATAGACAGCTGTACCAGGGAGGGAACAGGGATGCTGTCCAAGTACTGAAACTGAATCTAGGATCCTGCAGGGCCACTGTCCCCAGGGCCACCAGGACTGAAGGCTCCTGTTCTTGCAAGGTCTGCATCTGTTTCTCTGTTTTTATGCACTATACCTCACAACGTTCTGATACACCTTTTAAATTAAGAGTATTTCTGGTAATTACAGCCAACCCCTATGGGACACAGACCCTCACTCTACACACGGTGGTCAAGAGAATTAAGGGCAGAGTACACAGGCGCTTGTGTCCCCTGCATGTTCACCTGCAGTGCTCCAGTATACAGCCTGAGCAGAGGGTTATGACTATGGCCATGCTGCTCCCCTACACTTCTCCTCCAGGATTTTGTTCCTCAGGTAGTATCTCCTGAAGCCAGGGGCATCCTAGCACAAGAAGGTTTGGGAGACTCACCTGGATATACCTCGGTCCTCTCCACGTGGACTGAGGTAGCTGTCATAGGAAGTTGGCCACAGAGGCCATGTCACCAGTACTAAGGATTTACAAAAGAACGGCTCTCTGCTCAGAGAGGGCATGACACTAGAAATTCCACAGAAGACCCACAGTGTGAAGGGGACTTCCCAGGAAATCTCCGTCCTATTCAGCAACCTCTACCAGAAACGCCTAGGTCAAAATATTTGGGTAGAATACATGAAAATGGATGCTAGCAATATTGTTACTATTAGGTTGTCTATTAAGTAGGAAAGTCTCTAGGAAAAGTCCAGTTGTGGTAAGGTAGATAAAGCCCTGTCTTAGATGACTCACCACAAAACTTCCTGAGGAGGCACCGCATGTGCTGCTTGCTTTGCCTGTGATGGACTTTTCTAGGTATTTTGTCACCAGGTCTTCAAATGAGGGTGCGGCATCACTGGGATCTATGAGCCATGCAGCGACTCTGGGATCTAGCCCTACAAAACCAGCAACTGAAGAGGAAAAGGTTATTTAGGGTTCCTTCCAATTATAATTACTGCTTTTCCTGCCTTTGCAAGGTTCTTTTTTCAAATGAATAATACTTTATTCTCTAAAATTAGAGACTAAATACCCAGTGGCTATTATTCCTCAAGAATTTTCTTTTTTGTTTTTTGTGTGTGTATGTGTGGTATGTTTGATGTGTGCAGGTGCACATGTGTGTGCATGTGTGCAGAAGTACGAGACTAATGGGGTGAGTCTTCTTCAGGTACTCCCCACCTTATTCACTGAGGCAGCATCTCTCAGTTGAACCCAGAGCTCCCCAATATGCCAAGCCTAACTAGCCAGCTTGTTTCAGGGATCGCCTGTCTGCCTTCTGAGTGTGCTAGAATTACAGGGGGACCACCACACCCACTTGGCATTCATATGGGTACTGGGGGTCTGAACTCCGGCCTTCACACTTGCACTTTGCCTGCTGAGCCATCTCCCCAGTCACCCTTAAGAATGTCTGCCCAGAGGGAAGGTGGCCCAACACACCCAGGTCCCACATGGTTGGCTGACAGGGGAATTCCATTAAACACATGGATTCCAAGCAGGTGAGAAGGGGTAGAGATTCCAAGTTCAATTGGAATTCAGATTTCTCATAATACATTACAGGAGACTGCAGTCAGAATTATGGGCTGTGTCCATGCTTCTCTCTCCCTCAGCTTTTAGTCATCTAGGTAGTAGATCCTCCCTTCTACCTTCTCCCCTGCTTCCTGTCTTCCCAAGTCATTCATATATTTACACTGTGGTCCTAGGGTCAAAGAAGAAGTGTAAGAGCTACCTAACTCACACAGTGTCTTGTCAGAACACAGCAGCAGTGCAAACCAGGCAGAGTGGTATTCCCTGACATAAAACAGTCTCATGAGACAACGAAAAATCGAAAAGGAGCTTGCCTGTAACTAAAACTACAGTCTTGTATCACATTAAATATCACATTGTCTGGTATCCTTAAGTTAGACTAGTCTGAGAGACTTATATTTATCACAGGAACCAGTGTCAAGGCTTTTCCATGTTATGTCCAAGATGATTGGCATGAGCAGATGTGGAACCCTGGTTGAGAGGCAACAGTCATTTCGGCTGCTTGTGCCCCAGGTCAGAAATGTGTGACTCCACATAATGCTGTCTAGTAATTCTGACTGATCAATAGGACTGTTTCTTTCTACTTACTTTTCAAACCTCTGCTGTTTCAAAGGTAAGTGCTCTACAGACAGATCTTTTGGAAAGTCCTTGGGTGATCTGACAGCACCAGAATGCTTTGGGAACTGGTCCCTGTAAACTCTTGCAACTGACAAACAACCTTGTGGGACAAATCTCCACAGTGAGGAGAAAATGCTGGTAGTCTAAAAAGAAATGCTGAGCTGAATATGGCAGTATATACCCTGTAAACCCAGCACTTGGGAGGCTAACTGGGGAGGATGGAGAATTCAGGCCAGCCTGGGCTACATAGAGAGAATTTATCTCAAAAACACAAAAGACAGAGGGTCATTGAAAGAAAAAGAAATGTCAACAGAGTTTTAAAAAGTTAAGAAAAAATTGGGGGGTTGCTTTTTGAGATAGGGTCTCCCTGTAGCCACAGCTAGCCTAGAACTTACTATGTAGACCAGGCTAGCCTCAATCTCACAGAGATCTGTCTGTATCTGCCTGCCTCCCCAAAATAAATGAGAACCCAAAATACCAGAATTAGATGATTTAGAAAAAGAAAACCTGCACAAAGAAATGACAGAACCCAGGAAAGAGAAATAACCTAAACTAATACCATAAAAACACTGTAATTCAAGTTACTTAAAATTACATATTGAAAGACACATAGTCAAGACAGGTGTTACTGACAGGACAGATACAGAGACCATTGGAACTTAGGATGCAGAAATAAATCTACTAGCAGTGGTCAACTGATTTTCAATAAAGGTACCAAGATGGGTGCTAGATCCTGAAGTAGACTGAATTATGGTTCCCAGAAGATGTCTTACATGGACCCAGAGTGTGACTTTATTTGAAATAAAGGTCTTCATACGTACTTATGGCAAAAATTTTGAGATATCATCTTGGATTAGAGGAGCCTAAATCCAAAAATGAATGGCCTTATAAAAGACAGAAAAGGGGGCACACAGAGACACATAAAAGGACAAGGCCATGTGAAGACAGGCAGAGGTTGGAGTAACTGCATGCCAAGCACTGCCACCCATGGCAGGGCAGAGAGAGAACCATGCCATGGACTCCAGCAGGAATGAGCTGGACAACAGCCTAGTTTCAGACCTCTTGCCCCAGAACTGTGAGAGAATAAAATGTCTGTTGCCTCAACAGTTCTAGGAAACTAACAAAGGCCCCTCACCTCCTCCACATACAAAAACTAACCCCAAATGGATCATAAACTTCAATGTAAAACTAAAAGTATGAAACTCTCAAGAAAAAATATCCACAATAGTAAATCTTTATGACCTTGGATTAAACAATAGTTTCTTATATTTGATACCACAAACACAAATGAGGGATGGGGAGATGGCTTAGCGGGTAAGAGTGCTTGCTCTGGAATTTCAAATCCCCAGAACTCATATAGAAAGCCAGGCATGGCAACAACCCCAGCATTGGGGGTTGGAGACAGATCCCAGGAGCTCACTGGCCAGCTAGCCTAGCTTAAATAGCAGCTTCTTACTTAGTGAGAGACCCTGTGTCAAGCCAACAAGGCAGAGTGATAGAGGAAGACACCAATATCTTCCACTGGCCTCCATATGAGCATTCATGAGCATGAGCATTTATGAGCATGCACACCTGCACACTCACATACATTTACCACAGACACACCCTCCACACAAATAATAATTAAATAAAAAAATTTTAGAAGACACAAGAAAACCCAAGTAACGTCTGACTTCCTCTTGCCTTTCTTTGTTTTTTCTCCATGGACTTGCTGGTCCTGGTCTGGTCGTCTCTTTTCACTCCCACAGTAACAAGTGCATGTTAGTGCTCATGGAAACCACCTGTGTTCCTTTGATACCCAACATGATTGACATTTGAAGGGTGATTGCTTTTTGAGTCACTGTCTCTGTGCTCTCATGGTGGGGCTACTATTTGACAGTGATTATTTTTAAGGATGGCATTCCACTCTGAGGGGAGTACTATGGATTGAACCTAGCATCCTCAATACTGGTCCAGCAGAGAAGAAACATAGAGCCTCACTACAACCTAGTCTCCACTGAAAGACCAAAGATAATAAAAAACTCAACCAACGGGGTCAGTGGGGTGGCTAAGCAGGTAAAGGCACTTGCTGCTAAGCCTGATAGTCTGAATTTGATATCCAGGGTCCCACACAGTAAAAGGAGTGAACTGACTCCTGTAAATTGTACTCTGACCTCCACAGGTATGCCATGTCATATGTATACATACACACACACACACACACACACACACACACAGTATGTAAGTGAGTACCCCACATGGGTGCAATGCCTGTGGAGGCCCAAGCAGTTGTCAGACACACACACACACACACACATACACACGCACACAAACACACACTAAATAAATGTAAAAAAATTTTTTTCAATCTAACCAACAACCTAAACCCAGATGTGTAAGGCCCAACACATACTGAAGAGATAAGAAAAACCAAGACAGCTTGGCTCCTCCCAAAATTACTAATTGTACAATAATGGCTTCTAATGAGAATGAGTTAGATGAAATCCCGAAGAATTCAAGAGTGATTATAAAGTATGTCAAAGACATCAAACAGGATATAAATAAACTTTCAAATTCATTTCAGAAGAACATGGACATACAGTTGAATGAAATAAGGAGATCAATACGAAGCATGAAAGCAGAATCAATAAAGAGAAATACTGAGGAGAAGAAATCCAGACACTGAAAGTGAGGAAACGCTGAACTTTAATTATGTGCTGCTCTCACTAAGGTGGCGGCCCTGGGAAAGGCTGAGTGCAAGGTGGGGAAATGCACAGAGTGCACAGGATCCATTTTTAACTCATCAAAGATATATGCCAGAACCAAATATACTTACATAAATGCTGGGGGGAATAGAATGCAGACCTGTACAGCCATTGTGGAGAACAGTATGGGCATTCCTCAAAAACAAAAACGGGCTGGCAAGAGGGCTCAAGTGGTAAAGGTGCATGTCACCAAGCCTGACGATCTGGATCCAATCCCAGGGACCCACAAGTTCTCTGACCTTCATATGCCTGCTATAGACACACACACGCATACATATTCATACACGAGTGAACACATACACATACAGACATATACAAAAGAAATATATGTAACAAAAATTTTAAGAAAAAACTAAAAATAAGTTTAACATATGATCCAATGATCCAATTTTTGGGTACACATCCAAAGGAAATTCTGTCACATCAAAGACATACATATATATGTCCATTGTGGCACTATTTACAATTGCTAAAATATGGAATCAATGGGCAAATAGAGAAAATGTGCAGTGTATGTACAGCAAAATGTCATCCTGCCATGAAAAAGTGGTATTGCTTACAATCAAATGGCTAGAACTAGAAGATATCACACTAAACAGAATAAGTCAGACACAGACAAGTATTACATGTCCTATCTATTTCATGTGTGGATGCTAAAAATGTTAATGTAGGGCTGGAGAGATGGCTCAGTGCTTAAGAGCACTGGCTGCTCTTGTATAGGACCCATGGTTCAGTTCCCAGCACCCACATGGTGGTTAAGAACTGTCCGTAACTCCAGTTCCAGGGGATTCGATGCCCTTGTCTGACCTCCACAGGCACTGCATGACATGGGTGCAACTAAATACATGCAGGCAATATACTCATACACATAAAATAAAAATTAATAATAAATATTTTAAATGTCAATCTGAATAAAGAATCATAATAATTACAAGTTTTAGTGTTCTATAGTACAGCTGGGGGACAATAGTTCACAACAACTTATACTATGTTCTAGTTATTCATGAAGTTGGAAGACAGGAGTTCAGAAGCTCTAAGCACAGCAATGGTAAGGAGATGGAAGTGTTTATCATGTACTAAAATAACACTGTACTTCATATTTATACATTATATAGTTATATAGTAATGAAACACATTTAAAGAACATTTAGGTTGATGAAATGCTAGCTACTCTGATTTGATTGCTTTGTGTACATAATCACATTATTGCACTATAGTCTCTAAGTACATATTCCTTAAACACGAGTAATACTTCACATAAATAAGCAGTAAAAGCAAGCCCATATGTTCACCATGACAATAACTTAAAATCCTTTTGTATCAAGTTTTGCTGACTCTATACTATACAGCAACTCATTATTTTGAAAACAAATAAAAGGAAAAAAAATCAAATGTTCATTCCCAGTGGGTGTGGTGACACACACCTAGAATCCCAGCACTCAAGAAGCAGAGGTAGGTAGCTCTCTGTGAGTTAGAAGTCAGCTCAGTCTACAAGTTCCAGGCCAGCCAGGCTACACAGTGAGACTCTGTCTCAAAAATTTTCATCCTAGTGTCACCAAATCCCAAGTTCATTGAGGCAGACGCTGTGTGGATCCTCTATAGAATTAGCCCCTAGTAAATGAAGAAAGTGGACTGAGGGGTAGCTTAGTGATCAAGTACTTGTACAAATATGAAGACCTGTGTTTAGATACCTAGAGCCCATGTAAATGTTGGCTGGGCATGGTGGCATACCTGTAATTCCAGCCTCAGAAGACATAGGGGTGCCCCAGAGCAATGAGCTAGGGAGACTTGCCATCCTAGTAAGCCCTGGCTTTGATTGAGAGACCCTCACTGAATAAGGTGGAAGAGCAATCAAAGATGATTCCTGACATCAACTTCAGGTCTCCATATGTGCGCGCGCGCGCACACACACACACACACACACACACACACACACACGTATGCCCACTTCCATGCAAACATACACACAGAGGAAAATAGAAGTAGAATGGATTTTGATTTTGGATCTTGCCACACTGCAACTAAGGAACCTAGATATTATAATCACTAACAGCAAGCTATCCTTATATAGCACATATACACTCAATTGACTAAAGAATCCTGTGAGGTGGGTATCATTTCTTAGTTTACATACAGCACCACTTGGAGTCAAAGGCTGAGAAGCAAGCCCTAGGGCTTACCTCTGAGCAATGAGGATCTAATGACAATCAATAGCTCCCACCACCAGAAAAAGATGGTGGTATAGGTCTTTAACCTCAGCCCTCAGGAGGCAGACACAGGTGGATCTCTGTGAGATGGAGGCCAGCCTGGTCCACATAGTGACTTCCAGGTGGACTAGGAAAAGGGAGACCCTGTCAAAAAAAAAAAAAAAAAAAAAGATATGCAAGCAAGCGTTGCAGGACAAGCGTGGTAGGTGGAATACTGTGAGGACAATTAGTAACACAAATTACTGCCCACTCTGGGGGAGGTGACAGCATCACCTGGAACATGGGCTCCTCACACAACTGAAATATCAGAACTTAATTGTATAGCATTTGGGATTTGTTACAAAACACTGAGGAGGCTGTGGTTTGAAGTACAATGAGTTACAGAAGAAAAAGATTAGGTACAAGTCAGTACTATGTCACTTTTTGTGTTAGAAATTGTTTATAATAAGAAAGTTTCCCCAACATTTTATGATTATTTACAATTGTAGACAACCTGAAAACATTATGTAGTTAGCATTCAAGGACTCTACAGTGAATGCTTTTGCATGTTTGTCTTTCTTGCCTGTTTGTCTAGTAAAGAAAAGGTTATAAAAATCTTTTCTACAGGACTGGAGAGATGGCTCAGTGGTTAAGAGTACTGGCTGTTCTTGCAGAAGACCCGGGTTCAAATCCCAGCACCCATGTGGCAGCTAACAACCGCCTGTAACTCCAGTTTCAGGGGACCCAACATCCTCTTCTATCCTCCGCAGGCACTGCACGACATGGGTGCACTTACACACATGCAGGCATAAAACTCATACACATAAAATAAAAATAAATACATTTTTAAAAATCTTCTCTACTGTATCAAAGATAATATGTGCCCTACCTTGCTTGATGCTAACTGCTCTGGGCTGTGCTTGAATTCTTGGTCTGTAGTTATTGCAGAAACAAAAGAGCTCATTCTGACTGTGCTTCATGGATCATTCTTGGCAACTTATGCCACCAAAGGAATATAAACTGGTACAAATGCAAGCATAACCCAAATACACCACCTCTGTTCTTGGAAGTAAGGGAGCACAGTGTCCGCGTGGCCATGTGCCTTGGGGCAGGTGACATGGGGACCTGACCAGTTTTCAAAATCTCGGAGACAATGAGAGCAGTGACTTACCATGCTTCCAACTGCCATCCTTACCAAAGAACTTCAACACTGTTCTCACAAAGTCCTTGGCATTAAAACAAATAACAGGGCATTTACATCTGAGTGTCTGAAAAAGCACGTTCCTAGACAAAGGGACAAGTCACCCATTTAGACATGGATTCAAAACGTTTTTATAATCATTATTTTTTTAAAATTTTTAATAACTACATGATTAGAAGAAGCATTTCATTACAGCTTTAACATATTCAGTAACACACTCCAGCACAAGAGTACATATCTTTCACGAGTGGCTGTAAGTTTGAAGGTTCACAGTTAAATTAATACATTTATACAACACTAAACTCAGTATATGCCCTGTAAGACATAAAATTGAATGAGTTTTTAACCTTTAAAAAAGATCTCCATTTCATTTTAGAATATATTGTTCCTTACAGAAAAACTCATTGTTTTTGCTAACACTGAGATGTTGGTGCAAGCATCTCTAATCTGTAGCATCTATTACTAGTCATAATTGGTTGCACTTGGATCCTTGGCATCTGTGTATGTCTATAAAGTTATTGGGTACATTTCAATGGTAATGTTTATCACCTCTACTAATTAACATAATGTAAATTTCCATGCTTCCCCCTAAAATACATTTTTAAAATTTTGTTGATTTGTGTGTGTGTGTGTGTGTCTATCACACAGAACATCCCAAACCATCTTATTCAACTATACACCCACTTCCCAGATGGCATCTCCCATAGCCTCCCTCACTCAAATAGAGCCCTTATACTCTGATATCCCTGCTACTGTCTGCTGTGTTGTCGGCACCCCAGCCATTCCCCACTACTTGTCCTTCTGGTGAATC